CCACTACCACTACCACTACCACTACCACTACCACTACCACTACCACTACTACTACTACTACTACTACTACTTCACTACTACTACTACTACCACTACTACTACTACTACCACTACCACTACCACTACCACTACCACTACCACTACCACTACCACTACCACTACCACTACCACTACCACTACCACTACCACTACCACTACCACTAAACACCGCGGCAAAACGCAATGCGCATGAGCACAAAATTTAATATCCGGTCAACTTTTTATTTCCGGTCTAGTATATAAACCAATAGCGTAAGCATAACTTTGCCGTCGCGCCAAGTTTAAAAGCAAAAAGGGCGAAACAGACAAAAAAGGGGGCCAAAAAAATCACTTCATTCGAAAGCTTATATATTTTTCTATTCTCAAACTTTTGCACCACATGGTTATCTGTTTGCACCAACGGTGAAAATGATGTTTGAAGTTTGCAGGTCGCGAGCGCTCGACAAGACGAATTTGTTTTTACTGGCTTTCTTGCATGCTACTGGTTTGGCAAGTTAATTTGGGAGAAGGCGACAACTAAGAAAAGAATAACAATACTTATGAAAGAAACCAAAATGAAGACGTCATCATTATCATAAAAAACACTAAAACCAGGAAATAAAATTTTAGTCCGTTCAATAATTTGTTTTATTATCAGAGAAAACAAGAACTCAAAACAAAAGATGGGCGGGATTTAATAACAACTTTGACTTTGATGACTGCAGTCACCGGGAAACTAAACATGCCTATAAATGACTTTCATTCAAGAAAATGCCTATTTAATTCTTTTACATGGTTGTTCTTTTGTTGAAGACTTCAAGACCTTCAATAATTTCAGACTGTGCGGCTCGGCTGCATCTCATGCAAACACGAAACTTCTAGCTGCTAAATACATGGCATGAAAAGTTCGACTTCTAAAAGCCACTGAACCAGCTTTCGCTCTCTGATTCTGAGAATGGAAAAATAAATAAATAGAGTTGTCAACTTGCTGTCAACCGGCTCAACAGTATAATTAAGCTTATGTTTCATGGCAATCAACCTAGAAGAGTTTCGTTTTAAAACACGGTAAAACCCACTGGTAAACAAAACTACAAAGCGATTGTGTGTTGTCGTTTTCCAAATAAAGTTTGAATCGGCTTTTAGACTGAGAAACTGAAGAACTAAAAATTAGAACTACAATACACAAGCTTGCAATGATAACGTTTTAATTTTATGTCTTAGTTTCAGCCAGGTTAAGTGAAAATAACTGTCAAAAACTTTATTTTCGTGAATGAAAATCAGTTTACCTGACGCTCTAGCCAAAATTACACACTGAGTTATTATCATCTTACCTTTTCTGAATCTAATCGACTAATTGTTTCAGTGATCTGTGCCTGGTTATCCATAAAAGCAATTTCAATAACTACAAAATAGTCAAAAACACGAGCAGCATAAAGCAGAACAACTGGACCACAAGCTGCACACAGAATGAAGCGCGCGGGAGACTTTGACTGGCCGGAAAGTGTGACTGAAAAAGAGACCGGAAATGCTCAATCCGGCGCATGCGTAGACGTTTTGCCGCGGTGTTCTACCACTACTACTACTACTACTACTACTACTACTACTACTACTGCTGCTGCTGCTGCTGCTGCTGCTGCTGCTGCTGCTGCTGCTGCTGCTGCTGCTGCTCCTGCTGCTGCTCCTGCTGCTGCTGCTGCTGCTGCTGCTGCTGCTGCTGCTGCTGCTGCTGCTGCTGCTGCTGCTGCTGCTGCTGCTGCTGCTGCTGCTGCTGCTGCTGCTGCTGCTGCTGCTGCTGCTGCTGCTGCTGCTGCTGCTGCTGCTGCTGCTGCTGCTGCTGCTGCTCTGCTGGTGCTGCTGGCTGCTACTGCTGCTGCTGCTGCTGCTGCTGCTGCTGCTGCTGCTGCTGCTGCTGCTGCTGCTGCTGCTGCTGCTGCTGCTGCTGCTGCTGCTGCTGCTGCTGCTGCTGCTGCTGCTGCTGCTGCTGCTGCTGCTGCTGCTGCTGCTGGTGCTGCTGCTGCTGCTGCTGCTGCTGCTGCTGCTGCTGCTGCTGCTGCTGCTGCTGCTGCTGCTGCTGCTGCTGCTGCTGGTGCTGCTGGTGCTGCTGCTGCTGCTGCTGCTGCTGCTGCTGCTGCTGCTGCTGCTGCTGCTGCTGCTGCTGCTGCTGCTGCTGGTGCTGCTGCTGCTGCTGCTGCTGCTGCTGCTGCTGCTGCTGCTGCTGGTGCTGCTGCTGCTGCTGCTGCTGCTGCTGCTGGTGCTGCTGGTGCTGCTGCTGCTGCTGCTGCTGCTGCTGCTGCTGCTGCTGCTGCTGCTGCTGCTGGTGCTGGTGCTGCTGCTGGTGCTGCTGCTGCTGCTGCTGCTGCTGCTGGTGCTGCTGGTGCTGCTGCTGCTGCTGCTGCTGCTGCTGCTGCTGCTGCTGCTGCTGCTGCTGCTGGTGCTGCTGCTGCTGCTGCTGCTGCTGCTGCTGGTGCTGCTGCTGGTGCTGCTGCTGCTGCTGCTGCTGCTGCTGCTGCTGGTGCTGCTGCTGCTGCTGGTGCTGCTGGTGCTGCTGGTGCTGCTGGTGCTGCTGGTGCTGCTGGTGCTGCTGGTGCTGCTGGTACTACTAGTACTACTAGTACTACTACTACTACTACTACTACTACTACTACTACTACTACTACTACTACTACTACTACTAATTTTTTAACTTGAAAAAAAAAAAAAGAAAAAAAATGGAGACTATTGAAACAGTCACAGATTCGCCCATGCAATAATAGGACACCATTGCCTAATTTTTCGTTGCTTTTATTTATTTATTTTTCTTATTAATTTGAGCTTTTAACTAAAACATCCGCTCGCAGCACTTTGTCTTCACTTGGAGAAAGCTACAGTAGTTTAATAGCAAATTATATTTTTATCATTGCGGCGGATAGACGCTTAAGGCACCTCCCTGCGCATAAACTCGTAAAGCAAAGTGTTGCAAAAGGCAAAGATTTGGTTTATGAGTTGATAAGGCAGATTAGCCACCGTATGATCTCCTTACGGTGGCCAATTCTACCTTATCTGTAGTATTCTTGATAAGATAAAATCTTAGTGCTGCACTCCTCCACCGACGCAACATACTACTTTCGAGTTGCCCAAAGCCTCTGTTTCAAAGCGAGGCTAAGTGAGAAGACATTGATTTGAAAACGATTTTTTTCGTTCTCTTGCAGATAAAACTCACTTTCACAAGGAAGGTTTTGCACTTAGCCTTGTTATGAAAGAGAGAGTTTTAGGAACTCACAAATCGCCAACTCCATAATATACTGTTTCCTAGAAATCAACCTCTTCATTCATTTGTTACAAAAGGCGACTCGCAGCGAAACTACACACTCCCATAGCACAGCTTTTTCATTCCTCAACCGCAGCAATAAGGATTGTATTTCTTGCTTTTCAATTAGTTGTATCACCGAATAATTAGTTTTGTTAAAATAAGGTTTAAGCTAACTATGAAAGCAGCTGAAGCATAGATAGAAAGGAAACAATACTATGTCATGGTGCAGACAATCAAAGGGCTGCATTCACAAAGTCAACCTAAGTAAAAATGTTTCGATGCTTATCTTCTTGATTACAACGCGCCAAGATTAGAGGTGTAAACCAAGTTTCAAGCTCCCCCTGCACGACTATACATTTCCCTTTGGAAACGGCTAACTGCCCTTTTTTCTTTTAATTTGACGCTAATAATATGTCCAGTAAAAAATATTGAAACATATAAAGATAAATGGAAACAAAAATCTGGATGCTTTATCGATTGCGTTTGCGATCTTTTCCATTTTATGAAATGTGCTTGCGTCGTCCTGGTACCCATCTTCCACTACGGCCTTGTCGGCTTTAGAAGCACCGTTCGCCATCTCAAGCTCGTTCCCAGGTTCCTGATTCACGCCCCCTTTTCCAGATTTTTTACCTCTGAAGCTAACAATTGACGTTAGAGACGAAAAGACTTTTTCCGAGAGGGGGGCGCCATTTTCCTGAAAAATAAATAACAAATAAATACGTAATTATCATCTCCCTGCCTCATGGAGCTTTTGCGGGATAATGAATCAAATAATAATATGATAATAATAATGAATTTAAATGACAAGTAACAAGGTTTGAAGAATCATAACTGGTAGGAGGCGAACCAGGCGGCGCTATTTACAAGAGTGGCCGAGGATTTGAACTCGGGACTACGGAGAACAAATCTAGCAAGTAATCGGCTCCTGATCCAGCTAGTGATCAGGGCGAGACTTGAACTCGGGGGCCTCCAAAGTACAAGTCCAGGGAGCCCGTTTCTCGAAAGTCCCGGTACCTTTTCCGGCGCGAAATCAAACGTTCAAACCGAAATATTTAACAATTATTCCTCAAGCCCGAATGGGCTCTGAGTCCATAGCCCATAAGGCCGAAGGCCGAATGGGCTATTGACTCAGAGGCCATGAGGGCGAGAGGAATAATTGTTTCAGTAAAATCCAACTAGTTGGTCAAAAATATCAAGAATAAAAAAATTTAGCTAGTTAAAGCTAGACTTTAATCCTTTTTTGCCGCCAAAAAGCCCGCGCTTTTAGCTACTAGTGGGCTATAACATATAGCCTAGTAGTAGCTCAACCAATCTGAACGCAGCATTGATAATAGACCACTAGTTGGATTTTATTACAAAGAAGAAGAGCGCGGGTCCTGGCTAGCAAACTACTCCATTTTGTTTCATTAACTGATAGTTTTATCATGTTAGCTGCAACACTATTGAAACCTCCATGTTAATGTAAACGGTAACACCTTACCGGGCTCGTTATTTATCGCGACTTTCGAGAAACGGGCCCCGGTGCGCTAACCGCTCGGCCAAACTACCTCCAAAGAAAAAATAAATAAATAAGCAAATAAATACATAAAGAAGACAAAAATAAATAAGTAAGTTAATAAAAAAAGGTTTGAACCCAGGGGTTTCATAAGAGGGTGGAATATAATATCGTCGGCGTGAGTGCAGTCTTGAATAGTCAAGTCATCTTTCTGGCTAACATTAATCCATTTACCATGACTTTTATCGGCTTTTGTTTGTCTTGTTTGGCTTCAGCCACGAAGAGATACACTATCATGCATTCGATCAGCGACAAGAACACAAAACTGAAGGAGACCAGTAGATACCAGTCCAGGGCTTTTGGGTAACTGACTTTGGGTAGGTTGCCATTAAGTGATCCAAGAAGGAACATGATTGTGAGTATGGTGGTGATTCCAAGAGCCATTCTGTTGCCAATATCTTCTTTTTCCATCCAAAAGACGACCCAGCTTAGCATCACAACAAAAATATCTGGAAAGTAGACTTGGATGAGGAAGTAGCCGATGCGTCTTTCGAAGGAAAATGTGACTGTTATGGTCGAGAAGTTCGCTAAAAATTAAGTACAAGTTAAGTAAGTTTTGAGGATTTGCAAACCATTTTATTCATACATTGAACAAATAAATAACTAAAAATGTGAATATATGAGTAGATAAATAAACAAAATAATTGAGGTCCGTTCTAACATGAGGGTTTGGTTTGAAACTGTCTGCCTTACCCATTTTGAATAAGAGGAAAATCAATTTTGATAAGATTATTTAAGTTTTTGATGTCGTTGCTAACAGTATAACTAAAGGCTCAAAATTCGAAATAAACAGTTAATTTTTTTGCGTCATTTGCAGCGGAGCTCCACGCGCGCGAGAGCGTAGCCCCAATTACCTAAGAAAATCTGGTAATCTACCCATCCGAGAAATTTGGGTAATCACGTGACCGTACGTCCGCCCGTCTGTCCGTACCACAGGCATATGAATGTAAAATAACTCAATAAACAAGTATGGCAAGCTAAATGCAACTCGAGGTTATTTTGGCGGGAAACGCCTAACCACCCGCTTCTTGTAAAGCAGAGACAACTTAAAAGCCAATAAAGACGAAAACGGAAAGCGGAAATTGTTTCTGTGTTGCATAAAGTTTTAAGCTTAGATTAATTGCCATGTCCACAAATTTAGAAAACAGAGAAAGAAAAAGAGAAAGAAAAATAGAAAGTAGGCGACAGGCCAGAGAAGCTCAACCAGAAAAAGAGCGACAGAGAGCTGGGGCGGGAGATAAAAAAACAATGAATGTTATGCTCACCTCCAAAAAAACTTCTGTTTTAGACGTTAACTCGCAGCCCTTGAGCTGAAACTGAGATAGCTCTTTGTGTCCAAACTGAACCTCACCAGGAATCCACTCGTAAACGATATCGCTAGTTGAATACGAGTCTATGATATATATTAAAAAGAACACCATCATTGTTAGTTAAACAATGTTTGGATGAGGCGAGGCGAGTATGAAACGTTAAAGGGTTTACAAGTAAACAGGAGGAACAGTTTGCGCTCTCAGAGGTACAGTCAAACCGCACTTCACGGACTCACGCTTAAAACGAAAACCTCTCATTGGCCTGGTATGGAAGTTATGGGCTTCTGCATATGGACAGTGATGGCTGTTCCCAGAGATTTCTTTCACTGGTCTCGTTAGCAAAAGAAACCAAACTCTTAAGCAGAGAATAGCCTCCACTTTTATCTCTTTAACCATGCAATTAAATTAACTGGAAAGGATTTCGTAGAAAACCCCTTTTAGGCCAGGAGTAGCAAAACATAGGATGACATTTTTAACATTAATCACGATCAAAAAAAAAAAAACTTACAGCTTCCAAACTTGAGGTGGCATTGCTGAGAATCATGTGGGAAGGTTCGGAGATTCATCACACAAGAAGCGAGTAAAGTTACCCTGAGGTTTGAAAAAACAAATAAACAAATAAAAAACAACAACAGACGACTACCTTGCTATTACATAATGCCATCAGGGAGCTTAAACAACGACGTTTTTGAGCGACGTAAGTCAACCGGAAGTGGACGTTTTGCAGACCTGGGGCGTGATTTTGACCAATTTTTGGACCAAATCGTCTCTATGATAGAAAAGACATTTAGGAATACAAATTTGATAGCGTCGAGGCATCTTAGAAGGGAAAAGAACCCACTTCCGGTTGACGTGCGTCACTTAACTTGTTGTCTTGCCCGTATCCTATATAAAGAAACATCGCCATGTAATAGAGTTTTTGGGTGGACCCCCCAAAAAAATTAGAAGGGTTTGTATGGAGTTTTCTGAGCATAACCGGCTAACATCTCAGAGACAATTTGCCCCGAAATGCTCACTTTTGGCAAGTAGGCCTCTTGGACATTGTTCTTTCAAAATACCCTAACAAATCCCATAATTTCAGAAATTTCATTTTTATGACGTCATCACTTTAGTAGTCTATGCCTTTATTAGTATCAACTGCACTTCCTTACGTGCGCTACCCCCTCCCCACCAAAAAAACATTGTTATCCCATTGCCCTCCACTTAAAACTGAACAGCTCAAAATAAAGGGTTTCAGGGTTAAACTGATTCGTACCCTCTGCTCGATGCTTTGTCTCCGTTGGGGGGAATCTGTACATAGAGGTTTACTTCTTCATTGGTTGTCATCATATTCGATTCACGTGAGTTATAGCAATATGGATCTGGGGTCCAGATATTGTCGACACACACACATGATACCATCATTGCATTGACCCCACTTTTTATATAGAAATATCGGGCCGTGTAATGCCTTAACCCTTTAACCCGTAAAAATTTGAATTTTAATTTGTTGCCCCTATTCATTTCCTACAGAAGTATTGGGGAGAAGTTGATAAAATATCAAGCAAATTCATCTTGTTTGATCATGTCCATAATTCTCATGACCACCCTGTTTTACAAAACATTGATATTACAAGGAGAACTTTGACGCTGATCACTCTTTGGGCTCCACACCTTTTTGGCGCGCTTGCATTATTTTCCCGCGCCTTAACGTTCATCATTGTACCATTGTTCCTCCCTGGAAACGGGTCAACTGAACAGCTCAAAATAACTCCTCAGAGAAAAACTAATTCGTACCCTCTGCTCGATGTTATGTTTCCGTTGGGGGAAATCTGTACATTAACATTTACTTCTTCATTGGGAGTCATCATATTCGATTCACGTGCATTGTAGCAATATGGATCTGGAGTCCAGATATTGTCGACCTCTCCATCTCGTATGGTGAAAGTGTCGTTGACCCTTCCTTTCAGGCGAAGATCCTTCCATAACTGACGAAAGTAGATATATGCCTTGAATTCCTGAAATTAAAACGAAAAGAAAGTAAATGACATGCAAAATTCTTAATTAATTAATGCGCGTCTAGTTACTTATCTATCTTTCTAGTGCCTTCATCTAGTGAGCGCACACCAATCTTCATACCCGAAAAATTAGAATTTATACAGATCACTTCATTTTCCAATTTCAGGCCTCGATTTGGTTCCTTTGTTCACCGCAATAATAGGAATAGAAAGAGTGTTTTCTTATCATCTTCCTCCAACTCGAGGAGCTCCCTTTTTTTCTTTTTTAACTTTCAGCAACCAACCGGATCACTCTTAGCATCTCAATTAATTAACAACTGATAAAATCTTAATTTAATCCGTATTTATCTCACCATATTGGCCTCTTCTATGTTTCCAAAGGATTCCACATAAATCGATGAACGAATCGTTACTGGCTTACCCGTTCCTTGAAAAAAAAAAAGAAAAGGCTTATTCAGGATTAAAAATGTTTACTTGAAACAACAATATGCATTTTTCTTTTTACAAGCTATTATTTTACAAACTATTTTTGCACATATTTACCGTGATTTGGCCTGATTGCTTTGTCGTAGCCCTTAAACAATTCCGTTATAACACCATCTTCACAAGATATTCTGTGAAAATAAATAAGAGGAAGAAGTTTTGAGATTTTCACCACCTATAATGTTCGAAAAAAGGTTGAATACTTTGTGATTTGCGATTAAATAAATAAAAGCGGATACTTACAGTTTTGCTAGACTCAGCAAAAGCGCAGCGAAAAAACATGGTAGTTTTTTCATCTTGTATCTATACGTGAACACAAACCGTTAATAACAATAAATTTATGAAAGAATATTACACCCTTGTCCCTTTTTCCTATAGTCGGTGAAAGAAGTCTTTTTTAATATTTATACATTTATACGCGAATTTTTTCTTCATCATTAACATATGCTTATAACTATATGATAAAGCTAATATTAATAACACCTCTAAATGTTGAAAGAGTCATAACAATTTCAGTTTTCTCTGAAAATCTGAGCCCTATATACCAAATATTTCCGGTGGAATTCTCCTTGAAAAAAAGAACGATTTTTACAGAGAATGATGAGCTCATTAACGCTTCTGCCACCGAGCAATTTTACAGTTTATGATTGCTTCTACCTTCTATTTCCTTTGTGGTTGATGGCAAGTAGCTAAATCTTGCACAAACTACTTAACTTCATCGGCTCTTTTAACGTTTCAACCTAATTTGTATATACGGCGAAGTCTTCTATTGGTTACTTTTTTTGCTAATGAGCAAAAGTGTAAACAGTGACGTGAACAAAGATTTGCCTAGAGTAGGGATGTTTCACTGAGCTGCATAGTGCAAACGACTCAACAGGAAGGGAAAGTCATAAAACTCTTGGGTGTACACTAGTATTTGCTCCAGTAGGTCTATTATCATTTGACAACTTTAGATTCGAGGGCAAGGACCAACTAAAAGGACGACATTTTACTTAAAGTTTGATGCTGGCCTCTGATTGGGCACAAAAATATTTTTTGTGCCCAATCACAGACAAGCATTCGAATAAGTCGTGGAACTGGTTCGTTCGGGCTCTCCTGCCCGTTATTGAAAACTTTCGCCGCAGTTTTTTTCTGACCCAATTGACCGCCTCTGGGTCTCCGAGGATATGTGAAAATTTTGAATTGATCTGGGTCTCCTAGTTGTCCTCGTCATAGACTCTAAAGGTCTCTATTACCTAATTGGAAGCAGAATTAAAGGAGCCGTGTACAACAATTTTCTCGTAATTGTTCCTAATTATAACACCCTTTATACTACTACAGGAGAAATTTCTGCAATTTGATTGGCTTAGAGCAGTGGTATTTCAGCATAAATTTGAAACATCTACGTGTGAAAATTACAAACCTTTTGCGGGTAGTAGTATATTAAACAAATAATCATAACTATAACAAAATTCTCCAATCTGATTGGTTCTCAACTGCCCTGATTTCAGCCTTAATAGGACAGTTTAATAGGACAGTGCGCGTCATGCCTAAGAAATTGGACAGTACGCGCCATCACGCGCGCGCTTAAATGGCTTTTTTTTTTCATTGCTAGCGAAAAATCTTGGAATTTCTTGTGTTTTGATTTAAAAAGAGCCCTATATATCATAAATTTTGTTAAAGTTATGATTAACTGGTAACAGAACTTCGTGTCGTCCAATTCGGTCTGTATTCATACTCTTATCTGAAACTATACCTTATTAAAATAACTTCTGCGAAAAAATTTTGCGATTTGAACAAAACCCGATTTTGTTACAATTTTTTGAAAACGTTCAAATTTGACGCCATTTTACACACCATTAATTATTTAAACCAGTAATACGTAGTTTTTAGCACTGTGTTCAAAGACAAACGTTTGTCTGTTATTTGGACCTGATTCTAACGTGTTCGTTTCCCAAGTAGAAATTAAAGATGTCAAATTCTCAAAGTAGAAATTCCATTGCAACAGGCAGCCAGCTCTTTCCGGTATACTATACCACCGTCCCTAAATTCCCTTGTCTGACATTGGCAAACAGGGTTTGTAACTCTAGCTTTGGAAGCTCTTTAAAAAAGGCACATCATTCCTTTTGCTCTGTACTTACAGTAGCCAAAAAGAGACTTCCCGCCCAACTCAGCGTACGATGCACAAGACTTCCCTTTTTTCACGAGCCACAAAGGATATAGAGCCTTGAGATTGCAAGTGAAAGCTCGTCTTGTGATATTCGGCTATACAATATCTCGCGCACTTTATACACTACGTTCAACGAACTCTAGATATCATTAGAGCTGTGTTTATCAACCTTCCCTCTTATGATCCTTTCTCAGGAAGCGTACATCAGCCCACGACCCTAAAAATAACGCGGCACCAATACATAGGACGTCCGATATAGTAACCTGTCAAGGTTTATTTTTTCTTTTTGCATAATTTAATCGAATAGTCAGCTGTCCATGGACTGTTAAGATATCAGGATTTGGACAATGTCTTCCCTAGAAACTACATGTTGTTTTCACAGTCGACCATGATCCAGCAACGTTTTCAAACGGTTATTTATTAGAAAACTGTTATTTAGTTTAGCGGTATTGAAGTAGAGTCGATAAGCCGTTGAAATTCATCGGCAAAAAAATTGGCTCCGATCTTTATTTCATCTGGCAACGATGCCAAGTTTACAGGTGAAAATAAAATCAACCAGTGACAGGTCATTCCCGCAAATAGACTTTACACCTAATGGCAAAAACATTATTTTAGAAAAATGCTTTTAGATTTACAAGTAAACGATTGTTGAGGGCAATAATTTGCAACATACCCGTACAGCCGTCGTATTCACATTTGTTTTGGTTTTACACCCTTAACATGCCTAAACTGCAGATAAATGTCCCTAAAGTGGCTTATGAGTAAGCCTAATTAATTCCTAATTGGCTAATTAATTCCTAATTTCCTAATTAATTCCTAATTGACATTTACGCGTATTTTGTAAAGTTTGGGTTTTAGACATTTACCTTAAGTTCATGCTTGCAGATTCAACTTTTTACGGTACACTTTGGTCATAAATACTGAAGTATACAGCCTGGTTGTCCTCAGTTCATCGGTTTGGAATGCCAATCAATTTTTTTTCCGTTTAGATAGCCTTTTTTTCTCCTCTTTATGCCTAGTGACGAAGTCGCTTAAGTTGGCGGGGAACATCTTCAATGAATAAATTCATAAGGCAAAAAATCTTTTACCCGTCATCGGCTGTTTTGGAGCAGATTGAGGTCACATTTTTCAGAATTATTCAGGGAATCTGACGACGTTCGACGTTTGAATCAAATGCCGTATTTAACTATTTTAGTCGACTGAAATAGCAATTAAATTCGGCACATGTGAAATTCGACGTTTGAACTGGACCTAAGACCGGAAATTTAATTCGAAAGAAACGGTTTTCTGGGGTATTTATACATATATGTACCCTTTCTTTACGATTTTTCGGTTTCTCATCAATCGAACTGTTGTACATTTTGTCCTTTTAATGAAAATATCATCAAATAAGGAAGTTCGCCTCGCAAGGACACTGCAATTAGACAAATAAGTGTAAATTTGTGCGAATGGGTAACAACTATTAATAGGAACCAGTTAAAAATAATAATGGCATTAATTTGCATGGGCGTTTGAAATGGCGAGTCGAATCAGTGGAGATCCCCAAGGATCAAAAGTTCATGAGCAAGCTGTTTGCTAATTCTTTTTATTGAGCTAAAACGTGTCTAATTCGCATAATATAAGAAACAATGGTCCAGTTTTGTTGCTACTTCAGACAAGACTCAGGTACTGAAACTATTTGCTGTCGTCTGTTGCTACGGATGGCAATATATGATGGACATGGATTCAAACTTCAGAAAATTTTGCACCCCTTTATTTACGTTTTTATACTACTGCATGGGAAAATGCCGACATGTGAAAATTACAAACCTTTTGCGGGTAGTAGTATAAACAAATAATAGCATGATTTGTACGTGATCAATTTGGCATAAATACCACTCGTGATATTTCAAAGTTGTCTCAAATTTCACTCGCCTAACGGCTCGTGGAATCGTGATGTTTACGCCAAATATCATTACAAATCATGCTATTATCTATACTAATACAATTTTTTTCAAGTTTTTATCCAATGGCTCCAAAATCACCAAAAAAATCATGTTAGTGTTCGCTAATTACTGGAGTCTAGTGATTTCAGGTTAGTTTTTGACATCTTGATAACTCTACGGGAGGTAATTTTTTCTTTTTTTGCATGGGCGGGCAAAGGCATGATGTAATAAATATCCACATGACTAGGCCCTTTAAATCTTCCGCCTGTTAAAAGCATTGCTTTTCCTTCTTTTTCCTTAAATATCTAGCCAAGATTTTATCCAATCGAAAATGACTCAATTACACACCTTTAGTTTGGAGTCCTTAGTCCAATAATTTTTGGAGAAATGTTGGATGATTTTTCGAATATATATATTGGATTTGGCGGTTGTTAAGAATTAAAATGACTCGATGGTTTATGTGTATACCTTTTCTACGGCCTACTCAATTTCCTTCCCAAATGAACATCATTTTCCCCAAAACACGCAGACTGCCCCCTTAATAATTTATCAACCCAGTTGATTTGTCGCCGGAAACATCATTCTACAACAGAACAAAGCGACGCCAATTCACAGCTAAAAAAGGTTTATTTTACAAATAACTACATTACGCACTTTCGTTAAATTTTCAACATTATTCCTGTAGGAAACAAATCTGTCGCCCATAAAATTGAAGTATAAATGTTATGTTGGGCGTTACTCTACAATACTGGGTATTTTAACATCGATAAGGACGAGTAACGAGATTTTGAAACAAAACTAAGGAGCTGTATCATGAATTTTAGCAAAAACTGCCGCCAAATTGAGGAAAAGATAAAAAAATCGCTCAAAACATTAAAAGAAGATATTAATAACATAGCAAAGACAAAAGTAGACACGGATGGACAAACTAGAAGAAGATTAAAACGGACTGAAATTGTGGGTTTTTGAAAACTTGTCAGCCTAACAGTTTCTCAAAGTTCATTTTTGTTGTTTGCAACGTTTGACTTAATGCTTGGGAAGTATCATTGGAAATGAAGCTGTGATCTTGTCGTTTACAAGTAATTTTTTCGTTAACATTAA